CTTTCTTAAACTTGCTTTTAGTTATGATCTACTATTATGTTTTCCAAAAAATTATTTTCATTGAACTGTGCTAATATTTAACTATGAATGCTTATATTACCTGTGTTTTGTCTTTCGTTCCTTGTTAAAATTTTAGTATTATTCGAGCGGCCGTCTCTTGTAATACCAAGCTTTCAACTTTTCTTATAGTTGTTTTGATATTATTTTTTTTTTTTCCTATTCATCTATTGCGTCGAAAAACATGTCTGTGTCCTCATCGCTCTGTGTTATTATTGTTGTCTCATTCTTGTTTATTATTCTGTTGTATGTGTTCCATCCTTTCTTTTTTCGTTATGTGGAATATGCCGCAACATTTTCTTTCGGCCATCTTGCCTAGTCTATTCTTTATTCGTTCTTATCTTTTTGGTTGGCTGGTGTCTCCATGACTTCCTTTTCTTCTTCTCTGCTGTTTGTTAATTGGGGTTCCTGATTCCCATAATGGCAGTGTTGACACCTTTGAAGGGTCAACTCCTTCTTCTTCCTCCGTGGAATAATCAATTGTTTTATTCTCGTAATATTTCTTTAACCTATTGACGTACACTACCTGTCTATTTTTCCCTTTTTTGTACCTACTGCATACGTCACTGGTCCAACTTTTTCTATACTTTGAAATGGTATAGATAGTACCATTTTTCTGTAACTTCTTTGAAAGACCTGTTTTGCTACTTAAGTCTCTCAAATATACCTTGTCTCCTTCTTCGAATTCTATCAAATTCAAATTTTATATATTTATATTCTCCTGTGTTTTTCTATACACTATTTTCATTTTTCATCCATGTCTCTTTCTTCTTCCGTCTCTTCTTGTTCTGGTTCTCCTATTTCTGATTGAATGCTCGTGCCCCTGGCAGTCGTCGCATCTCTTCACATTTCACATATTTCCCAACATTTCTTCCTGATTTGCTCCAGAAATAATCTTCTCCTATATTTCTGTACTATATATCCTATTTATTCTTCCATATCCTTCCTGTAACATGTGGAAGGTATTAATTATAACTCTTCTTTTTCTTCACTTTTCCGTTTACTTCATTAACGAAAATCACAATTCCAGATTCGTTTCGCGTTTTTATTACATCCTGTAGATACTGTATTGTCGTGCTGGAGCCGCGGGACTCTTAGCGGGTTGGGATTCTAGTACCACCCTAGCTTATCCCCTTAGCAGCCTCCTACTTGACGTAAGTTTCACCCCTTAAGGTCGAACCATATACAGCTTGCCTACATTCCTGTAAAAAATGTACTTCTGGCACTGTATTCACCTTCGCATGCTGTGTGAGATATGCCTCTATTTCTGTGGCATCCCACATGTGTCCACTGATTATTCCTTCTTCTTTATGGTTCTGCTTCTTTGTCTCAAGCAAAGAAACTGACTTAAACTCTTCTACATTCAGAGTACCTTCTTCGTCCAAAGTTTTTATAATGTTACTTTAAACGATAGTAACTAACTATGAATTTTCCGTCTCCAGCAAGTCCTTGCCTTAGCAACGATTCAGTGCTTCAGTGAAGGCCCTTAGGTCTTCCTGTCCAATTTGCACTTCCCCTGGTACATAAACTGTAGCAAGTTACTTTAAACGATAGTAACTATTATACTTTTTCCGTCTCCAGCGAGTCCTTGCCTTTGCAACGATTCGGCCGCTTCAGTGAAGGCTCTTAGGTCTTCCTGTCCAACTTGCACTTTTCCCTGGTACATAAACTGCAGCAAGCCTCCTAGTGTCTCGCAAGTTACGTTTGTCAAAATCACTATAGGACGTTGACAAAGATTCGACTCAAATTTTCTTTAAATATGGGCCACAGCCCAAAGAACCACTTTACGTGCTTCTATGCATTTTCCTTGCGATGCAAGCTCCACGTCTACTAAATCTTGACTGTTCCATAATGGATCCATTCCCGAACTCATATGTTCGTGGAAATCATTCCAAAATAGTGAAAAAGATTTTCTGACGCCACATCCCATTTAAATTTTCTTTAAATATGGGCCACAGCCCAAAGAACCACTTTACGTGCTTCTATACATTTTCCTTGCGATGCATCGATTCCCGAACTCATATGTTCGTGGAAATCATTCCCCAATAGTGAAAACGTTTTCTGACACCACGGTCAATTATCTTCCAAAGCTCCATTAATTCTTTTCCCTCTTTTATATGTCCATCTCAGTATGATGTGCCAATTTATGAAGTTAACCAACAATTGTATAAAGAATTAAATTTTTGTTAAATAAAAGAACTTAGAAATATACGCTGCCGAACTTAAAAAAAATCTGTAGGAAATATCAAATAATCAAATCAAATAATAATCGATCAATCAATCAATAGTCAAATATCTAATAAGGTGTTAGTATTATTTTTTTTTTTGAAAAATTAAACTCTATTAAATTCTTTTCCTTTTTACGAATTGAACGTTATTTATAAATCCAAATATCCCAATTTACTTTAGCAAAGTCATATCTAATTTTTCAGTGTATATTACTTGACCAAGCGCGTTTAATATTTTTCAAACACACGTCGAGCAAATAGTATCATATTTCACTTTCACTTGATACATTAAACAAAAGAATTTGATAATATTTATGTAAACCGTTAGTTAGTAAAACAATATTTAAAGAATTTATATTTTGCGCTTTTTGAAAGCAATAAACTCGTACACTCAAATGAACTTGATCTTGACCTACTAACTTAAATTCTTTATATTCAACTAGTTAGTAAACAATATATTTATTATTTCTTTGAATAATTATATCCAATTCATATAATCGACTGATAATTACTAATCTCTGTTATGCCATATTGTATCATATGTTCTGTTAGACAGTATAGTTTATATTTTTAGTGCAATATTATGGTAATAAAAAAACAATTATATAGAGAACATCATATAATGTGTTAGTATGTATTTTTGAAAAAAAATTTGTACTTGTCATCTCTTCACATATATCATAAAAGCAATTCACCTATCTTAATTTAGGATTCTAAGTCTCGGGAAGGAATTGATATGAGGTTATTTTCCAGTGATACAAGACAAAAAAAAAATCTACTATATACGAATAATTTGTGTAAAACCACTAACAAGTTTATATAACAAAGAGAGAAAAAGGATTTTCTTCCAGAAGAGGGAGTCCTGCACTCCACACAATATTTACTGGATACCTCACTGTTTCTTTAATCTGTTGTCGTCTTAGGAAAGAGAAGAAAAAAAATTGGAATGTCACTGGCGAAATGAAACGATGAAGGCTTCTTATAGCTACAAAACTTGCAAAAGTTTACAAGGATACTGAAGAAGTGACTTAATTATCCCTATTTACCGAAATTCCCCCAAACCGGGACCGCTGTCACCAATGTAATAAAGGAGGCGACTCCGCTGTCACCACTGTAAAATAATAGGGAATGGGAGCGTTATATGAGGGTAATGGAAACGCTGTCACCAAATGAAATACACAATAGATCCTCAAGGGATGCTAACCCTGCGAGCGGCTGCAAGGAATACTGGTCACACTGGTCTGGAGGGCTGGCTCGTCTTCGTGGATTTACGAGAAGATAAGGGATTTCGGGATAGGGGTAAGAACTCCTCGTGTCTCAGGTCCTGTAAAGAGTAGAGGTTATGGGCTTACTTTTGAAGCCGGAGATATGTATACGCAGAATTCTCGTGTTCTCCTAGTCTCTAGTGAGTCGGACGAAGGAACATTAAAAAAAAACCATATTAGAGTCAACAATATATTGAATCTACCCTGAAGTTCCTAATACAATCGTTAACACGTTATTCTGCGCGTCGGGAGACGATTGTAGCAAGATAGTGAAAAGTTGACAGAGGTACAAATATAATTACACAGGTTAGTATAAAGAAATCTGTTACCTTATGTGTATATTAGGGCTTCAACCACGACACGTTCAGTCTTCTGGAACTCGGTCAGTTGAGGGTTGCGAACTTTCGAGCTGCCACAATAACCGGACTACACGCGAATTCTGACAGAAGATACCCGGCCCCCGGAAAATCACCGACTGTCTCGTACTGTTCGCGTACGGGACGCTATCGCGTCCGAGCCACGGTGGCCCGCTATTACTGAATGCCCATTACTGACTACCGACTGTCTGGCGTCCGTCGTTTTTTCTTGTTTTATTGTGGTCGTACTTTCAACGCCGGTTCTAATCCAAAGGTCGTAGGTTCGCTGAGTTGCAGTTTTGGTATTATTGCTGCCTATTTGGGTCACGGATGTTTCGTGCTTTTTATACGTTTTAAACAATTATCAAACAATGCAATAACTAGGTCAATTGTTATACTTTGTATAATTTAAATGTATAAGTTAACTGTATTAATTATCCCTTATTTAATTTGGAATATATGATAATTATCTCGAATAATTATTATCTTTTCTATGCTACTTATTGTTCCATTATCCCTTTATTCCAACTTCTCACTCACTTGCTACGCTTACATTACAGCACCACTGATGATGATGAATTGAAACGTCAATAAACGTACCTTTACCTTCAATTGTGGCTTATTCCCATTTAAATAGTAATTAATTTAAAATGCCAAAAGAAAATAGCTTCGGAATAATATTAAGAAAATGTTATTTTCTGTTTAACAAATAAATACCTCCTTAATTTTGTTAATTTTGTAAGTTGTTTATTTATTATGTTGGAGACAAAAACCACCTATCTTACTTTTTTATAAATTTATATACAAAATATACAAAATACCGCCTAAGTAAAAAAAACAAACTGCAACTAAAATTTCGCTAAAATAATAATATACCCTTAGAAACAATCAAAAACGTAATTATTTAGGTCAAAATTGTGATATTTTATTGATAACTTTTCTAATAAATTTCACTCAACAAATCAGTTTTTACTGACTCCTGAAAAATTACCTTTTTGGCACTTGCGCGGTTTTGGTTCTTCAATGACGATATTTAAATACAATATATTGATACATTTTAAAATATATTAAACTTTGTTATATTTTGTGTTTAGTGGAAATAGACGGCCTAACCAAATCGCTTTCCAGCCACGGAAACGATTCTGAAATCCGAAATGTCACCGTCACCTACACACTTTGGGTCGGTTCAAACATTACAGAAAACGCAACAATTAGCGTAACTGCGCCTAGAAATACTTCGTTCTACAATATAATGCAACTTGCCATGGAGTTGGACCCTCATTTTGCATTCGAAGCATCGGAATGGCCTAACGGACATTACGTCCACACTCTTGCCGGTTATAAAGAAGAGCCCATGGGCTATCATTATTGGCTGTTATACAGACTACCAGAGCTTCCTGACCCCTTAACACCCCCAGCTAATCAACTTGTTGCACCTGTCGGTAAGTAATAAATATATCTTAGTATTCTTATATCCTATTCTATTTTATGTATATTTTTTACTGTGATACTCTCCAAAACAAGGTGCAAAATCAAAAGTTACATTTATCATATCGGTATTAGTCAAGAGGCCTAACTAGTCACCATGGCCTTTTTAATTCTGATAGGTCCATCCAAGTTTTTTTATGTATTTTTGGCTGCTGATGACGAATTTTGAGGATGGATTTCGATGCTAGTGGTGAATAATATAATTATTTAGAAGACTCTAGCTTGGTAATTAAAAAGAAAAAAAAATCAATTTAAATTAAAAAAAAAAACAAACAAAATGGCATTTACTAAACTTTAATCCAATAACAATAACTCGAGATATTGTAAAATTAGTGCAAAATGGTTTGCAAATAAGTATTTTTTTAAGCTTTTTCGATCGTATTTTGCTTCCATCTACACACTCCCTCTAAGGGAAAAATTCACTCATCCCAGATACCTACGGTATTAAAAGGATTGAGCTCTGGTGGAACTCTTTTCGTGTTATCGAGCCCTAGGTGACTTGATATGCTGGAGTATTTCCCAAAAATTTTCGTACAAATCTGGATATCGCGAGCAGTACTGCTTTCTGCATGGCCTTATAAAGATGTTCGTTTAGATTGAGCTATTTTATATTCGCTAGGAGGTTTTTGGGAATAACAGTAGTAGTAGATAGAATAATAAATGCTGATTGGGTGCTGTCCATTCTGCATTGACTCCTGATTTGTATTTCTAGATCTCTATACTTGGCGCTCTTTTCGTTGAATGTAACACGCAAATTATAGCTGTTAGGTATCGCCACATCAATAAATGTTATTTGCCTGGTAAGTTTATTAACTAGTATGAGATCTGATCTATTATGTGCCATTGGTTGGTCTGTGAACAAAGTGCGGTCCCAGTATAGCTTGTTGTTGTCACTTTCAAGTATTCTGTCAGGGACGTACTGATGATGAGTAAGGAAAATTGTCGGTTTGGAGAAGTCCCAGTTTGTTAGCTAGTTCTTGGTGGATAATCATTCCTACTGAGTCATGGCGTTCTTGATAATCAGTACCGAAAAACGCCTGGCAGCCTCTAGCAAGATGTTGGATGGTTTCTTGGGCTTGGCATCCATATCGGCATTTGCCATTTTGGACTTGAGGATCTTTAACAATATATTTCAGGTAATTTTTTGTTGGAGTAACCTGATTCTAAATGGCAAGTAGACAACTCGTTTTTATCCTGCTGCGTATAAACAGATTGAGTTGCTTTTATGAGAGGCTCAGAAGTCTGTTCATTCTGTTCAGATTTCATTAAGGGTTTGATCTACAACTAGTTCTTGGTTGTAAATATCCCGTTTGACTTCGCTTTTGATGAAATCGCATCTAGTTTCGGGGATAAGATTATTTCTTATAATTACCCAGTATTGATCTGCTATTTGCTGTTCAGATACTTAAATCTCTGGGTACTCCCTGCAAAATTCGGCATTCAGCTAATGTCGATAGCCGATCGTTTCTTGACCGAGGTTCGTCACCTTGTAATAGAAGCGCAAAATATTTTTGTTTATAGACACAATCCATCGTCCCACTTGAGTGAGCGCCGGTTGATATTCAAGCGCAGCACCTATTGTGAGTGGAGCTCATGTTATTCTTTGCCTCACTTGTGGTTCTTCTTGTTGTTGGGCTGTAGCTGATTGTATGACAGGAGCTCGCCTCCTCAACATCCTGCCACCGACGTCCTGCATGCTGTCACGTCCAGCGCTTGCTCCAGACTTGCTCTGGCGATCTCTAAGCAGCGACAATTATTCTTCATTGTCATGGGTGTGCATTTTATACCTACTGCCAGGTGTCAGTTTTTGCTTCACAAGAAGTATCCATGCTACCCTCTGACCTAAGTTATACCCGTTTAAAATTGTAGTCTTCTTTAATAAATGTAAATTAATTTGTTTATAAGGGTTTTAAGCAATAAACAAATTTGAGCAATAAACACTTATACTTGAATTAACAGTAATGATAGAAGAACTCAAAGGGAACATATTGAGCTTGGGAAAATGTTTGTATGTAAATTTTTAGCCAAGTTATCGATATTTTAATAGCGCACATGTAAGGCGCAAGATCGGCTCGCAGCGAAAAAGTAGGCGCGCGAACTGCTCCATATAAATTTATAGTTAATATATATATATATATATATATATATTATATATATATATATATATATATACAGGTTATTTCCATTTTCATTTTTAAAGATCCTAATATAATTTCTCATATAGTTCATATAATTAAATCATCGTAAACTAGATCCTTTTTATTCTATTTATTTTTTACTTCAACTTTTTGTACTAAATGAGAAAAACCATCAAAGCTAAGGTTTTCAGAAATATTACTTAAAAGAAAATAGTTTTTATTTATTAATATTATTTTTACACAACATTTTCTTTGTGTTTTTTATGCATTTACATCGAGATATACGTAAGTTTTTAGAGCAATATTTATATTAAAACGAGCGTATTAAGTCTGTGCTTGAAAGATTTAAAATTAAAACCTTTTGGGGTTTCAGGGTCTCATTATCTCTGTGATAGCCATATAAAAAATAAGTTAATCTATACTTTTGGAATATTTCATACAAGGCTAGCTTTTACACCCAAATGATAAACATCGCACATCAAGACAATCGAACTTTCGATGTAGAGGGTCAGATGAGGTGGTATACGAATTTTCAAGAAAACCTATGCAGTACAAAAAAATTTTTGGAGCTTTTTACCTTATTTTTACCAATTACTATTTATAACTGGGAATAAGCCACATTAAAGATAAAAATACATTTATTGACGTTTCAATTTCCAATTCGGAAATCGTTCTCAAAATACAAAATTCATTTTGTATTTTGAGAACGATTTCCGAATTGGAAATTGAAACGTCAATAAATGTATTTTTATCTTTAATGTGGCTTATTCCCAGTTATAAATAGTAATTAATTTACAATGCCACAAGGAAAATAGCTTCAGAAACATTATTTTTACCATCAGTGATTATACTACTTCAGCAAAATTTGTAACAGAAAACACAAACTAAAAAATGAAGAAATGCAATGAAATGCAACTAGACTTATGGAGAGTTAAAACTTTATTAATTTATTAAAAGAATGATCAATTCTAAAATAGTCTAAAAATTTGAAATAATATTTTTCCGCAAATCGCCAGGAAATTTTGACATTCTGTCAAAATTTTCTTGAAGAAAAAGTCAGGACTTCCTTACTGTAAGGAAATGATATTTCCGTACAGTTGTTAGTGTTCTACATAAATGATAGAAAACACATTGCTTATAAGGAATTAATTTATATTTTGAAAACATCAAGTCATTGCTGAATACATTTTTAAGATCAATTTGTTATATTTACAGTAATTTGACAGTTAGTACAATTATTGCACATTGGAGGAACACTCTTAGAACTATGAGAAACATTTTGGACAACATGCAGGGTGGAAGTGTCATTTTGTTGAATATTTTGTACTGTGAAAATTTTATTTGCCACCTCAACCTTATTGTTAAGCGATTCTTCGATATATCCTTCAGCAACGTTTGATGACTTCCATCCGCCATGCCTCTTTAAACTAGTTATGTCGGCACCAGAGGTCAACCAATATTGTTGCAGAAGACCGACGAAAGCAGTGACCAGTATATTCTGTCGGATTTACCAAGTTCAAATAAGTAGCAATTATTTTGGGCATTTTTCTAAATTGATGAATTCCTACCACTTGTCTACAACCTTTCCGCTTTGATATTTAAAGAAAAATCGGTCACTGTTCATATTTTCTGGTCTTAACGAAACATACTTTCGATAAACATTCAAGTAGATCTGATTAATTACAAATGATCTTGGTTTGTTGGTTTTCGAATCAGGTATGCTGATTAAAAGCTTAGATTCTAAGTCTTCTATATCGTGTACAGTCATTCGGACTAACATCATCCATTCTACAGGCCCCAGAAATACCAAATATTACAGCCACCTAAAAAAATAAATAAAGCTATAATCTAAATAGAAATTAAAACCTTGTAAATTACCTTAATCATTAAATTTTCTTTATCTGGAGCTTCCTGGATAAATTTTTCAATTTCTTCCTTCGTTAAAATCTTAGATTTCTTTGCCCTATAACCTTGAGCTTGCCGTTTCAATAAAGAACGAAGTTTTGAGTATGTAGATATATCTTACATTGTGTTTAAGTGCAAGGGTTGACTTCAGCATTGAATAATTGGCCCATAATGTTGAAGATTATATCTTTAAACAAAGGTCTAGGAAGTATGCCATTACAACATTTTCTGAGAAAGAACTCGTATTTTTACTCATGCGATAATCCATAAAACGTGCTGTATGCATTTTCGTACTTTTCTCTTGATTTCTTTGGCAATAATTCTAATGAAGCAGTATTCACTGCCTCAACCAGCTCTGGAGGAGTTCCAGGAATGGAAATTTCATCATCACTTATCATTTTACTTTCGAGAACACCAGCAATTAAATTTATAAGCGTCAAGTTTGACAATTCAACCTCAATACGTTTCCATAGTAACCCAAGTAATTTTATTAGGAATTTCAAAGCACCATTTATTTGGGGAATAAAATTATCGCGTTTTTTTTTAATCAATCAATATCTGTCGAATTTTAAACGATTTGCGGAAAAATAGTATGTTTACCTCGTAGGAAAAGCCACATTCCTGGACTCTGTGTTGCTAAGTCTCGGCTTGCGCCTCGACTTAGCAATCTTCACAGTCGTCCAGGAATCTTAAGCTTTTTTTACCCGGCAAACATTGTACTATTGCATTATTAAATCGATATTAAATAAAACATATCATGTAAAAGATATTTTTTTAACTAAATAATATGTATTTTGTAGTTAAAATGTAAACGTGTGTATTTATACTTAATTCTTTTACAGGCGTGGACGATCTCCTGATCGAAGAAGGTGACCACTATCTCTTCTGGTACAAGAAACTCTAAAACCACAGTGAAATTTATATTTTTTAGTTTTATAAACTCTTAAACCTTTCGTTGACTTGTTAAATGTGTGCCATGATCATATCCTCCTGATTTTATTTCGATGCTTCGTGATCGTGCGATATGGTCGTAAAATTTTTGAAAGCTTTCTCGGCTTTTGGCTTGGCGTGAAGATAAAAAGAGTATTAACGTTTCTAAACGCATTATTTCTTTGTAGATGTTTATATTAAGTCTATATCTAAAGAATCTGTTAAACGTACATATATGAATTATCCGGTCTAGAATTTGATTTAGAAAAGGTGCATAGTAATAATTGGTGAGAAATCATAGCTTTGTCTAACAAATATATTATTAAAAATAAGAAAAATTTAATTTTAGTTGTGTTTGATGATTTAAAAACTTATACCGTTAATTAGTTTTTTGCATGTCATATTTATTGAGTCTTTAAAATTGTGGGAGCTGAATCGCTCAAATTGTGGTTTGTATGTGTCAATAATTTGAGATATAACACTTGTTAAAAGTTAAATATTTGAGCTTTACGGTTATATTTTTGACTTTCATACAGATATAGAATAAAATACATTAATTAATCATAAAAATCAACGTATTGGGTGTTTGGTATACCAAAAAAAATTGATTTTTAAACCAATTATTCTTATGCATTTTGTCTAAAATAATATCAGCTCAAAGCATGTAATTTTATGATGTACTCTGCAAATCACAAAATTTATGAAAACATCCCGAATAATTATGTAAAAACGTTCCCATTAGATTACTTTTAAATTAAAATACTAAAAGCCAAGGGTAAACTAATGAACTATAAGTAACATAGAGTATATATAGAATGTGATCTAATATTAAAAGAGTTAGAAATACAAACAAACCTTAGGAAGATAGCAGTGGATGACAAGACTAATGGGAAAAGGACAAAAATTGGATATGGATGTGGAAGTGAAATCAAAAAACAAGCCGGATAGAAAAAGTAACATACAATACTGAACCAACTTGTTCAAAAAACTAGCTAAAGATAACACAATGACGGACCGGAAAACAAAACAGGCACAGAACAGGGACACGAGCAGACTTAAAGATAACAACAAAAGGAAAAGAAAAACGAATTAAAGTACAACTTAGACACAGAAAAGAACAAAACAACTTTAAAAATGGCATCATGGAATGTAAGAGGTATAAATGGGAAGGAAACAGAACTGGGGGAAGAAATTAGGAATAAGAATATTGAAATAATAGCTATAACCGAGACAAAGAAGAAAGGAAGAAGGATCAATAATATTAGAAAATGAAATGTTACTAATATACAGTAAAGTGGAAGAAACCAAGAGAGCTCAGGCAGGAGTAGTGTGCATGATAAAGAAGGACAGTATCAACAAAGTAAAAAATGGATATAGTACAACGAACGTATACTAAGAGTAGACACTAGATATGGATACAGAGGAAAACCAATACAAACCTAATCATATGCTATGGACCCAGATAAAGACGCAACAAAAAACGAAAAGAATGAGTTCTGGGACAAATTACAAGAAGTGATAAATGATTGTACAGAAAAATTGTGATTACAGGAGATATGAACAGTAGGGGAAAGAAGCAGAAAAATGGAACAATGTCATCGAACCTTATGAGGAGGCAAAAATAAACAAAAATGGAAAATTACTACTCGAATTCTGTCTAGACATAACCTGATTATGAACACACACTCCCAACATAAAAAGATACACAAGATCACAAGAGAAGTCAAATCAAGAGACGAACAATCAATTTATAGACTATACTATAGTGCAAAAAAACAGAGAACTGCATAAGAGACGTAAGGGTATAAAGGAGTTATGAAATTGGTAGTGACCACTATCTACTAGAAACCACATTCAAAAGCAAAAGAAAAGAAATAAAAAGAAAACATATGAGCACATAAACAAAAAACACAAAGAAATAATAAAAATTTATAAACTAAGGGAAAAAACAACCAATATAAGATACTCAGAAGAGCTAGAGCAAGAGATGGACAATGAACATGAAATAACAGAAACAATAGAAAAAGAATGGGGAAAATTTAAAAAATGGGACAATAAAAACAGCTAAATCAATATGTGGAACTACAAGAAATAACAACAGAGGGAAACGTACATGTTGGTGGAACGATGAAATGAAAAGAGAAATAAAAGAAAAGAAGAAATTGTGGAAAGAATACATACAAGACAAAACACAACCAAAATATGAAAATTATAAAAGACAAAGAACAAAGGTTAAAGAGATAGTTAAGAAAGATAAAAAAAAGTTGGGAAAAATTAGGAGAAAAAATGGAAGGAACAGCACAGAAAACGTAAAATTATCTTATAGAACACTAAAAACCCTAAAAAGCAACAAACAAACGAAACTAAAACAAATATTGAACAAGGAAGGAACAAAAATAAATGACGAGAAGACAATAATGGAAAGATGGAGGGAACATTTCCAGCTGATACTGAATGGGAATCAAGCGAATACAATGGAAAAGGAAAGCCACATCAAGAGAGTATCCATGAGAAACACGGAAAATCCAGAAACTATAGAAAAAGAAGAACTAGAAGAAGCAATAACAAAGATAAAGATTGGAAAAGCACTAGGAAGCGATGAAGAATAGAGAACCAGATTCAGAACTAGTAGAAACCGATGAACCTAGAACCTATTCCTCATGTACATGCATGGTGGAGATCATCAAGAACTGGGTAAGAAATAGAAGAGTAGAATTGAACGATCATATAAGCCGAATGACAACAAATACAGTAGTAAAGACGGACGAAACGGTTCTCCAATAGGAAGACCACGTCAGTTGGAAGGCCACGAAAAGGATGGAACGATAACTGACTGGAGGCACATTTAAAAACAGACAGAGTCTAATCTATGTTAAAAGAAGGAGAAGAAGAGCCATTACCTTTTATTTTATAACACAAGAAAGTTAATACAGGTTTTTATATAAAAAAATAAACATTTTGGTTTTAAAGTAATCTAAAATGGGATAGGTTGGTAAAAATCTAGTAGATTAATAAGATACCCAACAAGTCCAAATATACAAGGTAACTATGTTATCCTTAGCACTTTTAAAGTAACTATTTTCATAGAGAATTTAAAATTGAAATATAGCACGCTAGATATAAAAATACTAAAGGCTGTTAAAGTGTATCTTATTGGTCTAAATATTGAAACTTTTTTTGATACAGCTGTATTGTTTATCTATATCATTGGATGTTGTTGACGTGTTAGTAAATATAGTAAATATAGCACATATTTCTACCTCAAAAAGATCATGGCAATAAACTTTTTAATATCAAAAAAAGTTTCATTCGCTAAAGTGTAAAATGAGTACATCTGCGAGATACATCTACAGACCTAAAACAAAACTTTTTTAATTATTTTGTGAACTTTGACGCACTGGAAAAGAATACAGGTTGTTCTGAAATTGTTTTTAGTATTGTATTCAAATGGTACTAGACAATTTTAAATTAAAATTACAAAATGCCAATGGGATTTGTGGTATCCAAAATATGGAAACGATTTTACGAGTATCAAAGCCCAAATGGAAGTATACTTGATTTCAACCTCAACAACATATCATTGGAGGATAGATAACTCTAAATAATAAGGCTCACTTTATGTGTTATTTATAATACCACAAAGAATATGCTGAGTACCTGCTGCATATCTTTTCTTAGTAAATCTGAAACATGTATTATGTACCATGTGCTTAGTCGCACATTAGTGGTTCTATGTACTAGTCAAACCATTTGTAGAGGTCCATTGTTGGCTCCTAACAGGAAATTTTTCAAAACTATTTTGAGGAGTTTTCGTTAGCATCCTGCGGTTCATCTTACCTTAATAGCAAATCTGAAATATTATAGCTCCAAAATACCGCAGGTATAGCATGCTATCATGATATTATAGGCATTATATCTTACTATCCATAAAAAAAAATTATGTATTAATTAGCTGAACAAAAGGGCACAAAAATTCCCTTTGATCACCAGAGCACTGACATGCGACCTGTTAAGCTGTGTTTACAAACAAAGATTATTACGGGATACCAGAAAAAATTAAAAGTGCATACCGTATAAAAAAAATTTCACTGCACTGCACTAGACACGTAAGCAATAAAAGTTAACATATCTATTTCTTCAGTGAACTAAAAAGAAGACATTTAGCGATCTTATCTCCAACTAGACTTCACTAATTTTCAGCTAAATTAAAACTTATTCCTTTATTTATTTTATCTTGGTTTAACTGTTGTACTTTATTCGTTATACTGCCCTACATTATCGATTTTTCCATCTTTCTTACAGGCTTCGTGTCCAATGTCGATAAAACTAAAAACAGGCCAAGCCTGAGCGGAAATCCATCCTACTATCAGGGCTGTCATTATCCAAGTCCTCTCATGGCACAATTCGGACCTCCACAATGAAAACCACCGTTTCCCAGAGAAGAGAAATCATCAATTAAAAATTATTTCCTTGCCAGGATCGGCAGAAAGATTGCTATGTATTTCCTGCGTAAATATCTAGACGGAACTAAAATCAAAGAAAAGATAAATATGTGAATTATACCAACAGACTCCAAAATGTTTAGAAAATGCTACAACGATAAAAAAACAAAAAAATTCTGCCTAGAACTGTACAAAAATTTAAAAATGATACTTATGGTATTATTATTGCCAGTACTGTTGGTTTCGTGCTATTTTATCATTTGCTGAACGTAGTTAGCTTCAGAGACTGGTTAGAATTTAGCTGATATATGGATGTACGTAATTTTATGGACCTAAGGAACGCATATATAATATCAAAGTGACAAGGCGACGACATAGTGGTAGTGAGAAAACGCCTGTTAGTAAGAGCGCCCACCAAACTGGCATGGCAAGTGGCAAGTAGCAAGTAGCACGCGTCTAGCGTGTTATTTAAAATGTAACCAATGCAAATGAATGACGTCACTGTCATTTTGGTGTGTGCTGAATCATTCGTTTTCATTGGTTGCATTTTAAGTAACATGCTAGACGCGTGCTACTTGCTACTTGCCACTTGCCATGCCAGTTTGGTGGGCGCTCTCCCTAACAGAGGAACATAGCTAGCATCCTGATACAGCTAATTAACAATATTTATTAAAAATGTTTAGTAGTTGCTAAGTAATATACTATATAAATCAATTTGGGACAGCCTGTATTTAATAGTTTATTACCTTTGTTCAAGAAATTCTGTTGAGACATTTATATTTTTGTTTTTCGTCTTTATTATGAATGTCAATAGGATATTGGATATATCAGTAGAGTTTCTTTTCAGAATTTTGTAACAAAACAGTGGTATTACATAAATTTTGTTTTAAAAATGACTTTCGAAACACGATACAATAAGATTGTATAAAAGCTTAATGATTGTGATTTTCGTTCCAGAATAAAAACATTTACTGTTCAAAGAATAAAAGTAGCGTGGTAAAAGTGATTTTTAAAACAAATTCCTGAGATACATTAAAATATACAAATCTAATGTATTTTTGTGGAATTTTTGTAGAACCTAAAGTAAATATTCATCCCCAGATTTAGAATATTCTGTATCTACTTCATTTTTTGTACTAGAAATATATTTATAATGTCCTTTATAATGTACAATTTCATTCCTTTATCGAAAAAATAATAATTCGGTACAATAATAAGGATTTCAGATTGTATGTGGAATTAAAAAATGCCACAAATATACATTTATATTATTTAATCATTATTACAGACAAAATATTGTAAATAAAATTTACAAAGTATTAGTTTCTCAAATGCTTTTGGTTATTGATTTACATAATATATTATAAAAGGCTTTACTCTCGAATACGCTTTTGAAATACTTACCTTAGATCGATGGTTACTTCAAAAACTATAATAAAATACAATACCTGATACATAAATCAAGGAAGAAGTAAGAGAAGGATGCTCCTTTGTACCCTTGCATCAAGCGAGAGATTACTTATCTTTGGCATTTGGTCGAGATATTTTATACCTAATTATGTCGTTTTAATAAACTCCCTTAAAAAGGCCTATACTATAAATGCTATGGAATTTCTTATGGAAATATTGTACAGACAAAAAACTACAAAACGTTAGAAAAGAAACCAAGACGATAGAATAACTATACTGTCAAATTAAAGATTGTATACATGAGTACAAAGTAAAGTGGTAGGCAAATGCCACACATGGAAGTAACTAGAAGGATAGGAAATGAGACGGAAATAATATTAACTATTAAAAGACGAAAACTTGAGTATTTGGGAATTGTGATGAGAGGGCAAAAATACGCATTATTACAACTTATTATGCAGGGCAAAATCCAAGGAAAGCGAAATGTGGGAAGACGAAAAATATCCTGGCTTAAGAACTTAAGGGAATGGTTTGAATGCAGTAGTGCAGAACTTTTTAGAGCGGCAGTCAACAGAGTCCGCATAGCCATGATGATTTCCAACCTTCGATAGAAGATGGAACTTAAAGAAGAAGAAGAAAGTGGTAGGCATGCATGGAAAAGAAACTGTGAACAACAACGGAGAAAGACTCCTAAATATATGCCAACAATATGAGTTAATGATTTTGAATGGTTTTTTCGCCCACAAGAACATACATTAATACACCTGGTATCAGCACACAAGAGGTCTAAAATACATAAAAGATTATTTCGTAACAAGAACAAACTAAGTTAAGAGTACAGGACGTAAAGGTGAATAGAGGAACAGAGTGCGGCTCGGACCACTGCCTGATAATAGGAAAAATATATACACCATTTGTAGACAGGAACCACACAGACATCAACAAAGAACACATAGAAAAAATAGAAAGAACTACGTACACATTAGACAATCTAGATAACGAGAGCACACAGTTACTTTACTCCTGGAGACTAAGACAAAATATACAGAAATCACAAAGATCTACGACGGATGAATACTAACATAATATAAAAAACTGCATGAAAGACGCATCGCTAGAAGCCTTAGGGCCACAGGTACGGAGAGTAAATAAACCATATTGGTGAGATAAAGAAGGGGAAGAAAAGATAAAAAGAAAGAAGGAGGTATATCAAAAGTTATTACAAATGGGAGACGAATAAACAAAACAATAATATAAAAAATTGAATAAACAAGTCAAACGAGAAGCGGTAACAAAGAAAATTAGTGCATGGGAACAAAAATGCCAATACCTAGACAACCACATAGGAGGGACAAAGAGCTCTGAAGCCTGGAGAACTATAAAAATGATCAAAACAACGACAAAAAAGCAAGCAACACATGGGTAGAGAATTTTGAGAACTTATTAACAGAGAAAAGAGAAAGGTTTAAACAGATAAATAAACAAGTGGAAGTAGAAGATAGAATAAAAATATTAATACAAGTGAAAGAAGCAGTTAATGGAATAAAATTAAGAAAATCTCCAGGCCAAGGCGCAATACATCCAGAGTTGATTAGGTATGGATCATCAAAACTGTTTGAAATGATCCGAAAATTATTCGAAAGATGCTCAAACGGGGAAGAAGTTTCAGAAAAATGGAGACAATCGTATATCTCTCTAATAGACAAGAAAGGCACAAAGACGGATTCTAAAAACTATAGAGGGATCGCAGGAATTGCTACTATAAGCCGACTATACTCAAAAGTACTACGAAACTTGATAGAAAATAATATTAAAAAAAAGCTACCCGAAGATCAAGCGGGATTTGACAGAGAAAGCATATGACAGTGTGCCGATCTCCCAACTATGGATAGAAATTGGTAACTTGAAAATAAAAACAATTCTTATTAACGCCACTCAAAAATACTACGAACAAAACTTTGCAAGACCATAACCAAAAGTATTTGACTTTTTTAATAAAAATCATTTATCTATAAACAATTTAATTAATTCGAATAAAAATCGTTTTTAGTTTGTTTGATTTTAATAATTCGATAAGTATTTAATGAACTGTAGTTTTGTAAGACGTATTGCTAAACTAACTACTAGTACTATCGTAAACAACTTTTTGTCGTAAGAATTTCCTGTGAAATTTTTAGATATAAATAAATAAAAGTATTTATAAAGATGCATTTTTATGAGACAATACTTTCACTTTGTTTTTGTAAATGTTTTTATAGATGTAGCCTTCTAGACGATATTCGTTTCTTCAATTGTTAATAAGGAGCAAAAGAAAATTGTTAAAAATTGATTTATTTTTATTATACCTGGCTTAAATATTACCGACAGTAAAATTATTCTTAAGTTTAAACTGTGTTTCATTTCTTTCTTCTTCTATGCTGTATATCTCCCTGGTTATTTTGATATTAAGACTATTTGGCTAAGAAATAAATTTGAATAATATTTGTTTTGTGGACAATTTTTAACAGTCTTAATACATAGTGCAAAAGATGCTTGTTGCTGTACAATTCAGTACTATAATTATTATAAGGTGTTAGATGAACAGTGCAAAGTTCTTTCTGACAAGTTCAAAGTAACCGCGTTAGTGCACAATGGAGGAAAAACAACGTTTACAAATACGGAACATTATAAGAGAGATAGTTGAAGTAGTAGCATAGAAAATTCAGAATGATTTAACAAAAAGGGAAATTATATGATTTCTACCTGGCGAAATCGAATTTAAATTTTTACCGGTGTGCTTTCTAAAGCTTGCAAAGCAAACAGCTTGATAAATTACTCGGCAAAGGAATCTAAATTGCATTCCACATGCCGTTCATTATGGTCAAAATTAGTAGTGAATTCAATTTCTCGTACTCCAAACGGAGTAAAGAAATAAAATACAAAGACGGTATTAGATTTTTGTTTCAAAACAGAACAGCGGCAAGCCGCTTATACGTATTTTGACCTCTTTAGGTCTCTTTAGAGCGGTATAGCCACTACTCTGGATCGAAACAAAAATCTATTCCCGTCGTAGATAATAGTTGTCTACGACGGGAATATCCTTCTCTAGCCATTTATATATTCTCTTATGTATTACTTTTAGCACTACTTTTAAAGTATGACTCATGAGGCTGAGTGTTCGATAATCAAAGCACTCTTTTGCTGCTTATTTTTTAGGGATGGTTATAAATGATAACTTCAGCCACTCTTGTGATATTATTCCCGTATCGTACACCATGTTGAATAAATCTGCCAATACTTCCAAGCTCTCCTCTTTCACTAGTTTTAACAGTTCTACTGGTATTTCATCTAATGCAGCTGCCTTATTGTCTTCAAAGATTTTAATAGCAATAAAACACTGAAAACTTTGTTTTCAAACTTACACAAAATTTATTTTAAATATTATCACTACAGCTGTTTCGGCTGATTGCCTTTCCAAGTGATCTATTTTAGCTTGGGTTTACAAATTTATAGTCTCTAATGAAATAGGTTGAGGAGGGGAGAACTGTTTGTCTCAAATTGGTCATTAAGAATTATATCTGTGTTTTTTATTTTGTTGATTTCCATAGATTCTAACAAAGATAGCTTAAGGCATTTATAATGAATGTGAAGAATTTTAAATTTTTCATTAAAAGAATGATTATGATCTAGAAAGTGAAGTGCGTATGTCGAATCTGTTTTTCTATTCTTGAAAGCCCTTTTATGTTCTGCTATTCGTTTATCAACGTTTCTACCAGTTTGACCGGTGTAAGTTTTTGGGCAGTCGCCACATTGACCTACCCATACTGACACGACTATACACAATTCGTGATCCCATCCAACACAACATAAACTGGCAGTTTATCATAGTATGTTACATAGATTAACAGAAATTCCGATGTGAAAATACAACTTTGAGACGCAATTAAATATTATTAAGCAAATAGCAGTATATTATTAAGCAAATATCCATCAATTTTTTAATAGCATATTTAATTTTATCTATCGTGATCTTCTGTCTCTCTAAAGGATTTAATTCTTGTATTTTCTGCATTTTACCTCTTTCATCTTAGAAAAGTTCTCTAACGTA